CCAGCTCTAACAATGAGTCTGGCAAGTGGCATGATGGTCTAAAGATCTGCTTGTTTCCACCCGAAAAGTGGGAGGACGTCTCGAGAAATGGGTAAACCTGAAAGTCGTATTAACGCCAAACGGCGGTAGAACAACTGGAACCTGCCGTGGCCTTCCAGTGAGATCGACCTAAGAATTTCTTTATTGAATACTTTTATGTGAAATGAAAGCCTCCATAGCATTGTTATCTCAAGGGATTTATCGAAACCTGGTATAAATTTAGTATTCCTTAAGGTCGTAGTTTGGTGGGATAAAACGACAAATCTAATTATGAAGGTAAAGTTGGCTGGAAGGAATTCACGAAATGATCTCACCGGAAACCGAAGAATAATTGACCGCCACGAAATAAAGATTGTTATATTGAGCGAACAAGTCCTCAACTCAACGTCCGTCAACAGCGATGAACCTGTGCCATGCTTTCATCTCTACCGTGATTACCGGAAGAAGAATGCATACTTTACGAAATAGCACAAACAATACACTAAATCTGGTATCTTGGTTCAATATATTTTTGCCCTATATTGCTCTGATAATGTACGTCGCAGGACGGTGAGCCGAGGACTTCTTCGTGCAATCAAAATGTCTTCACTAAATAGAGGTAAATTCTGCTTGAGTTGCTGGGGCGACCATTTCACGCATTCCTTCTAAGCAAATTTACCTTGCAAATGGAGAGTCATGTCACTAAAAACCTCATAGTGAAGCGATTTCACACAAAGTTGAAATCCTTGACAGCATATTTTTTCAGGAGCCCAGCTACAGTTTGTAAACCGTGCCATCGTGGCCTCAACCTGCTCGACGTAAGACTCCAGCCAGTCACAGGCAAAAAGGCTTCAATAGATGGGCTAGAAGTGCTTCAAGGAACTGGTGTGTTTCGGTATCGCCGTCTACTGACGAACCAATTCGGGGTTCTGAACAGAGAACAATCCGTTTCGGCAAACATTCAAGCCATGTTGCAAAGCCATGGCTGAATCCATTTGACTCCCCTTTTCGAGCGAGCTCGCGAAGAAGCGGATTTCTATCTCGAGTTTTGGGCACATTTGCCCCATCCTTGCCGCTAGACCGAGCATTGTCCGTCGGCCCCGAAGAGTGACAGGAGAGAGGACATTTGACGTCTGCGAGATGCCCAGTCCACGCTGTCCTCAACCTGGGCTGGGCTGCTCTTTCGCGAGCAAAATCCTCCGACATGTCAGTCCAAGCCTCATCGTAAGTGCATGCAACCGACCCTTCCGGGAGGCCGAGTCGTGTGGTCAGGTCTGGTGGCGATATGGCCGAGGTGGGCGGGGAAAAGTGATCAGACTCATGCTTGGCCCCGTCACTGAGGCAGGAGTCGCATGGGAAAGACTTGCCACACGCCCTCTTGGCGTGGGCATGTGAAGGAGACCAGCGGGGCCAGGGGGAATGCCAATCACACAACTGGCCACAATCTCAACTATCACTGCTCGTCCTCCACTTGTGCACAACTCTCGAGTGTGTGAATACAAATGTCTGTCACTCGACATCTGGGTGTT